ACAGTGCCAATAAAAACTATTCACCCTCTTATGCTTTTATTGCTGTCATAAAACAATCATGGTTAATACTCAATGTCAAAACGAAATCAAATTTTACTAACAACTAAATAAAAAGATGCAATTTAAAGTAACTTACTGCATAAATATTCACTACCTTTAATGTGACTAATTCAACTCTGAAAAAAGATTATTGAACAGTACAAATCAGCAGACGGATACAAAAGTATTTCCAAAATCTTAAGTAGTTCTAGAAAAAATCATCAAGACATGGGAAAAATGTGGAACGTGTAAATCTACCAAGAGCAAGTCGTCTTCTGTCGTGAGTGACCGTGCAAAGAGAACYGTGAAAGAGGCCACCAAGACACCTGTGAGAACTCTGAAGGACTTCCAAGCTTCAGCAAATGAGATGAGAGAGAGTGAGTAACAACATCTGCTGCATGGGTTCTTCACCYGTTTGAGCTTTATGGGTTAGTAGTAAAAAGAACGCTACTGGTGGAAAAATAATGCAATCACGACTAGTCTCTAAACAATCTAGACAAACTCTAGTCGAGTTTTAATGTAAGTGATTGCCTGTGAGTGACATATTCATTGTCAGTTCACTGTACCCATCAAAATATTTGTTCTAAACCCTCATGGTACGAATACATGTACGATTACATTCCTAAAATCCCACATCTTGATTCTTAACACTAAACCCAAAATCTTTCCAATACGGATGTCCCGATCCAGATTTTTTGGCTTCRGATAAAATCRGATTTTTTTAATMATTACTCTTTACGATACCGATCCGATCCGATCAGATAGCTTTATTTCTTTCCAAGTGACAAGGTTGTTAGTATTAAAACGAGCCCTGCTGTTCCCACCACGAGAAACATCCAGTTTGCAGATTTTGTAAGATGCAGTTTCAGCATCATTGTGTTCCATTGAAAAGTGTTCCCACACTGTGGACATGGTTACATACTTGTGTGCGTCTTGACTTCTTAATGGCAGTTGTAAAGCATGATGATGCTGAAAACTGTTGTGGAAACTGGATCGGCCCGATCACATGACTAAAGCCGATTCTGCCCAATTTTCAAAAAATGGCCATATCTGCCACCGATACCAATACTGAGTTTCTGATCAGGACATCCCTACTTTCCAAGTGAAATTGCTTTTCATTTTTAAAAATTAAACCAATAATCCTAACTCTTTCGTTCATATAAAACACAACTCAACAAGCAAAAATGAGAGTATGTAGAGAGAAGAATATGTATGACGGTGCTACCTTCTGTCCCGGCTGCGTGACCTGTGAGAACGGTGACTTCTCCCTTTATCTCTGTCTGCACTTCGACTCCTCCTCTTGTGAGATGAACTGTGAGATGAACTGCTGCTGGAACGTCGTCTTCTCCTGAACAGAACAGACACAATGTGGCACAAAAAGTAAAAAAATAAATTGTGTTTCATTTGATAATTTCTTTGTTGTAACAATGCTTCTTGGCAATACAGCTTATAGTGTTGGAAAGGCTGTTAATTTCCCTTTTAAGTGGTGCTACATTTGTAAGAAACATGCACTTGTGGGATGAGCAGCAGAGCTGAGTAAGTGAGTTGCGCACATGAAAAATTAGCCTATTGGCAAACAGTTCATTGACACTTGTTTTGAGCTTCTGGGACCCCTGGGTGCTGCCAATCAGCTGCCCCGTATAGGATTTATTACTAAGAAGAATTGTTACAAAATAATCGACCAAATACAAATTGMCTTACTTTTTTGTGCTGCATTACTATTATTGACAGGGTCCTTTAACTATTGCAGGATACTTCAACAGTGAAAACAAATTCTGATTGTGATTGTATGTTGAGAACTTGGTTCCCTAAACTTCAATCGAGTATTGTTGTAGGGTTGCTCTTATTGAACGATTCCACAAAAACCATCTACTTTTGTGCAGCACTTCCACCATAAGTTCCTTATTCTTTACTTTCTGATTTTTCTTTTACGCACCAATCTGCAATAACAACTTTGTTTGTATGTTTATTCACCAGTTCTCCAAATCATGTGAAATTTCCTTTTCAAAATAGAACAAAGACTGTTGAATGTCTGTTTAGCTCATAATCAAAAGCCAGTATGTCGAGAAGCTCTAATATCAACTTTACCTTTCTGAACATTCCTATAGCTGCGAGCCATACAAACAGCCCTAAAAAGACCTCCTCCAGACGAGTGTTTTTTGGTTTCTGATGCACTTTAATGTGGTTACAAAAGTGTGTGTGCTGCCTTTATAAAAAGAAAAGAAAAAGCTCAGACTGTGTTCCTATTGATATCAAGAATCAAGAAGTAGGAGGCATTTTAGGGGTGAATGTAAATGCAGAAACCCTGTCCTCTATTGCACAAACAGTGTGTAAAATCTGAAATATCTCCTTTTGATTCACCAAAACCAAAAATAACCAAAATCTGTTTTAGCATCCACTAAGACAAAAAAGAAAACACCAAGTCCTGTGGGACCTCAGCAAGTTAGAGGGAGAAGGAAAAGGCTAGCAYTACAAATAACACAGAGGCTGAACAATCAAACCAGATTTGTACCACTTAGAGTAGCGCCGCAAAGATCCATTAGTATTCTAAAGGCTGGATCCAAAGAGTGGAGCCTCATGAAATAACTTCTACAGCCGTTCTGCAAAAACACTTCACACATCATACAGACGAAAGGAAAAAAAACAGAAGGTTAACAGAAGCTTTTTTTGGAAGGTGCTGTTAGTTCACACATTTTCACAAACGCCTGCGCAAACATAATGTAAGAAAAAGAAAAACTAAAATAAATGTGAAGGAGAAAACGGCTATAAACACAGAAAGCTTTCAGATGAACACCTAAGAAGTTGGTTTCCACATCTCTTATTCAGCCTCAAACAAATATCACCATTTTGCTCCTTATTTGCATCTCACATACACAGTAATGGTTACAATTACTCTCCTTACATATACATGGTGATTATGTGGTCATGATGTCATCCCCCCAGAAAATAGGCACTCCTCTGTTTTACCACATGTAAGGTCACTTTATACAGCCTGGGACTATGCAGGTTGACAGTGCCACAAAAACGTGTGCTTTGCTTCACGTCAGCCTATTTAAGGGAACTGGTTTCAGCAGACATGCAGAGACGCACACAAGGTCTTAGTTAATTGATCAAAATGTAAGGCTAATAGACGAGGGACTCTGGTCCCAGAGTTTACACTGCATACCCAGCCCCACTCAGTGGAGGTAAGCAATGACTTCCCATCAGTGGTAATGGGCCTTGACCAAGTCTCATAAATAATTACCATCAACTGGCCTCGTCTGAACCACCCCAGAGAAACAGTAACGGCCAAGGAAGGATGGAGGAAAAGAAAGGACGGAACAGTCGATAGCTACTCACTTATAAAAAAAGGCAATAATTTAAGCTTTGGAAAAAATCCTGAAGGCCCTGTCACATTTTAAACAACTTATGCCAACTTATGAATTTTTTATGTCCAAATCGTATAAAAGTTATACATATTTGATCAATTTGTTAGCATTACAATATGTACATGCCTAAAAGAGGCTTCCAGTTGATTTTTTTTATTCCATCTTTAACGTAGATGTCTTAAAATTTTCACAAGTTGGCGTAAGTTGTCTAAAATGTTATAGCGTGACAAGGCCTTAAGACATTTTCATTAAAAAAATAGTCATAAAAGTTGCCCCATGTGTCTAGAACCTTTCTCCAACCCTTCTCAATTTAATTTATGTAATTCAAGAGAATGGGAGTTCTAGTTTTCTATTGATGCGTATGCAAACAAATTTTGGGCTAAAAAAAATCTTGCTGGGATTTTGAGTAAATGTGTCATGTGGTTCTAAGATGTGATTCTTGAGTATTTTTTTGTGTCTTCAGCTAGGGGTGTCCCGATCCAATATTGATATCAGATATCGGTCCGATATCAGCCAAAAAATGAGTATTGGATTTTATCGGCCTGCATAAAAAATGTCCGATATAAGCGCTCCGATATAAGCAGTCCATTCCAGCAGTTCACTGACTCGGCTCCAGTGTTTCTATCCAGCAGCGCTTGGATCCAGCATGTAGCGCTCACGTGATCACAACAACATGCAGCGCTAACAAGTTAGCAAGAATGTAGGCAGAACTTTCTATTTTCGTCAAAAACAGAGTTGAAGCTAAGTGCAAAGTTGTCACGCACAAGTTTTCCAAGGGGGAACACAGAACCGTGAACACTTTAAACCGGAGCGACAACTACTCTCCACCCTGGCAGCAGCTTTGCGTTTCGGCTCGGTTCGTTCAGCCTCGGTCCAGTGACCGCACACAGCCGCGCTYTTTCGMWACCTCCTCTCTGGTCCGGTCGGTGGTTCTGAGCTGGCAGAAGCGAGGACAGCACGCTTACAGTTTTGACATCCTGTGGATTAGCTCTGGGTCGATGGACAGAAGAAAGGAGAGTGCAGCTTTTGTTTTGGAATATGAGCGCGACATGACGGGAGCAGTGATAAAAACTGCTCCCTGCAGGAGAGAGAGGCTGATCTCCACATGATGCTCAGAAAATGCAGCAGTAAGAAAGGTAGCTATCAATTTAAWTAACTGACTAATTCTTACTATTTATTTTTTGCTCTTGTTATTAGAGTGATGTTTAATCTGTTTACACACTTGTTTGAGTGAAGATTAAGTGCAATGATCACGTTGTTTTGGTTACAGTCAGTAAAATTGGAGCTGTGGACTCTTAATTTTGAACAGACAATAATGTGGGGTTTTGTTTTGTCCCCACCTTCAGCAGTCACCACAGTGAAATACTTGAACTATTCTAAAGATTCTTACTTTTCTGTATATTAGACACAAAGTTTGATATACTTATTAAAGAAAGCACAAAAAAGCTATATCAGAGCAAATAGTGTCAAACAAATAGAGTTTATTTCGTTAATAAAACAGCTTATTTGTGCTATGGCATTATTAATGGCTCTTCTTAGTGTTACTGTTTGTTACAGAAGTGTAGCCTYTGTATTAGAGGTTTGCCTTTTTTAAAGCCTAACCAGCCACTAAGTCTGCAGTTAGCCAGTAGCTTAAAGGTCTGTGTACAGCAAACTGATTGCATTACTTAGTGCAACATAACATTATTTGAATTCAATTGCTGTAACTAGAGTTAGATAAATCATTTGTGTTACTATTCTAACCAATGGCAAAAACTATGCCCCAAATATTTACTTGTAAATTGTAATAAATGCATAAAACGAACAAAATATTTTACTACATCCGACATTTGAATTTTTCACCCAAACCTAATTCAAGTAGCCAACATTTCATCAGCAACTAATCTAATTGTGTTTTGTCATTTGCAATATAAATGTTGTAATACATAATAAAAAGGTTACAATATAATATGTACAAACAACCTCAAAAAACTACTGTGCTGACAATGTGTGATGAAGGTTCATCACTGTAGGTTCAGACCTACAGTCAAACTGGAGTTTAAAAATTGTGAACTTAACTGGAGGGTACAGAAATATATACTGTACTAWATATGCTATACTGCTCCAACACAGATGATAGCAACTTAGGAGATTAATCTGAAGGTTATTTAAAAGACCTAAATGTTGCACAATGACTAGCACTTGTGTAGTGAATGAGTCTTAGCAACTAACACACCAAACTTTAGGACAATGTTTGTAAAATTGATTAAATTAAAAAGCCGTTTTTATATTTTCTCATTTGGCTGTACAGGTACATCCACAGATTACTTCCTAGAAGATGTAATTAAAATTCGCCCTGTGGTTCATGAGGTATTTTGCTAACAGATGGACAAGATCAGGATCTATATCTTCCACCCTTCGCTTTTCAGTAGTGAACTTAACAAAAGAAGGTTCCAGGAAATGCAGCATCAGCATCAGCGTTCCTGGAGGTAAATCACTTTCTCTAAGGCCTCTAAAACATAAAGTTGTCTCGGCTCACCTTCGATCTCTGGAGCGTGACCGGCTCCGGCGACTGGATCTCCGAGTGCGGCTACTTCTCACTCGGCTYCCGGAGGAGGACGAAGAAGAGGATGAGGAAGATGAACGGCGACGTTGTTTTCTTTTCCTCCGGCTCCGACTGTCATCCTCGCTGTCAGAGGAACGCCGACCCATGCTGCTGCTGCTGCTGCTGCTGGACTGTCAGCTGGTGTAACACACAGGACAGGAGCAGGGCTACTCATTAGCTAACTCGATAACAATCTTTAGCAAGAATCTAACAGGAGACTTGAGCATTATGAATGGAATTGTTCAACTGGACATCCCTGAAATGTTACACAATGATGCTCCAAAATACCRGACTCTCGACACATAATAAAACTTAAKGCAGTCTAGGAAACATTCGTGCCCTTTAAAACAGCCCAACAGTGGCAACAYCACTGTACTGTAATGCCCATTATTAGCAAAACAGATACGTTTGCTTGGTAAGCTAGCTAGCAGGCTAATGCTAACCGAACAGCACTGTCTGATGCTCTGAGAAGTTCCGTGTTTTGYCAGAAYKCTGGCACGACAGCGTTTCGTTTCATTCCGCARCCYTTACACAAAGGATAACAGCTTCGACAAAACATATTCAAAAACCTTAAAAAGAAAGTCCCGCTCGCTGCCTTCAGACCTGATGGATATTCCACAACACAGCCATGCACTGCTAATAAGACAGAACTCGTCAAACAAAGACGCGTCGATGAAAGCCAGGCCTGAAGAGTCGAACACAGAGGAATCGACTGAGCTGCAGTTTGATTTAATTTGCCTTGCGCGGTTTAAATACTTCGACTTTAGCTAAACTAACAGCAAAAATAGTACTTTTTTTTTTGGCATTTCCACATTAAACAATATTTATCATCAATAAGAAAATGAATTATTTGAAAACACTTGATTGGGACTGATTGAAACGTTTTGTGATTTTTTTTATTTTGTTTAACATGTGCTGTAGGCAACAACATACAGCTTTTATTTAGTCTATAGACTATTTTGTAGCACTGCATTTCTTTTGGTTTTAGCCTGAAATAGTAACTTCTAAACAGTATTTTAAAGAATGTATGAGCGCTTTTCTGGGCTTTTTGCATTTTGTTGAAATATGGCATTTCTTAGGAAAAGAACTACAATAAATGCATATTTAGGCTACTTGTAAAATGTCTGTAAGGACTTACGTATTCTACAGAGAGTATAAGTTCAAGTGCAGGAAGTGATTTGGATAGGAGTAAAAAAAATATTACAAAATATTAATAAAGAATAACACAACACTTAGGGGTTAAAGATGAAATGGCCGATATGGATCAGCAGCCGCTATAAGTGCCTGATCTAAAACAAAGTGCACTAAACAGATAAAAGAGTCTGTTCAACACCATCTGAATCTCTCCTGGTTTCAGATGCAACACGATTAATAGTAATTAATGCCTAAGGTTCAAGCCGAAACGTCGTTAATAATTAATTAAGTGAATTGTTAGAGCTCCTGTGTGTGGAAATAAGGAGGGGAGAGAGAGAGACTTTATATAGATGATCAATAAACAAGCTTAATTTTGCATTAAATTCTTCCCGACGCGTTCCAAACCCCGCTGTATCCTGTTCCTCACGTGTTGCCTCRTCATACCTTTATGCGTCATTGTTTATTTATTTGTCATAATATTAGTTTCAGTAAGGGGAGAGGGGGGGGGGGACATCGAGCTGGAAACTTTAATTAGTGAGCCCCCCAATGGCAAAGATATGGTGGGAGGCACAATAATAAGCGTTTATCTGCAATTTAACACCCTAATGACTTAAAAAGCCCAGTGAGAATTAACACTAAGTGATGTCTCATGCAAAAATGACGTAGGAGTAATAA